AAATTCTTCTTCAAATTCTTGAAATTCTTCTTCAAATTCTTCTTCAAATTCTTCTTCTTCTTCAAATTCTTCAAATTCTTCTTCAAATTCTTCAAATTATTTTACTTCTTCAAATTCTTCTTCAAATTCTTCTTCAAATTCTTCTTCAAATTCTTCTTCAAATTCTTCTTCTTCTTCAAGTTCTTCAAAATTTTTTCTTCAAATTTTTCTTCTTTCAACACTACTTTACTGTATTTCTTTTCCTTCCATGACATTCTCAGCAGTCTTCTGAAAAACTATATTAATGCTACTTCCAGTTTGTTTTCACTATCTTCGGTAACCGTCCTGCTTTCACTGTGTAGCAGTATAGATCGAATAGTTTGGCACACCTAGGCTTATAAAATTGTTATTGCAGTCGTCATTTCTATTTTCAAAATTAGACGGATGGATTGATGGATGGATGGATGGATATATAAATAGATGGATAGCAGAAATTCCTGGTTTAAAAGGAAGATCCATGCTTTACTCTGATTTCAGGTCGAGAAAGTCCAGAACGCAGAGGGCCAACTCACTATCAAATTGACCACTGCAGATTTGCCGGACAAAGTCACTGGGAAAAAACTGAATAGGGATACGATTTTGGAGGAGACGATACCACGGGTGAAACAACAGGTTTGTCAAATTAGTCTTCAGCTCTTGCGTGTAGTTCCACTGGAACTAAACCATGTTTGTCCTCTGTGTGTTTGTGTTTATTTTTCTAACGTAGGTGGGGGAGGGGGGGGGGTTAGCCTTCATCATCACAATGTAGATGATTTAGAAGGCGGTTTTCGACCCTGCCTGAGCTGGTCTGGGCTGAGAGGACAACATCACAGCAGAAAGACCGAGGTATTCGAAAAAAAAATTTGGAATTTTAACTCGGGCACTAGCGACGTCGATAAGCCTCACTGTCACAAAACAGACATCAGCATGTTTGTTTTATAGATCTGGACTCTTTAACTTCCCCGGCACCCTTAGGAAATCAATGTGGCAGTTTCTGTTGTGATTAGAAGGTTTCTAGGATAATTATATTTGTGCCGCACCATTATTTTTGTTTTCACTTGCTTCATTGTTTCCATCACATTTCGTGATCCAAGTTACTGGAGACAACATCATTTTTTGAACACATACGCACACACGCTCACACACGCACGCA